TTGTTGGTTAGTTTGAGTAGTATTCTGAATCAAGGGTTGAAAAACTCCTCCCATTGTCTGAGACAATGTATGTACCATTTGCATATTACTTTCATCCATTTGCTGTCTCAAACAATTTATAGAGGTATTTGTAAGACTGTGTGCTTGAACAGAGTAACCAACACCTATGCTTTGGTTGTTTCGACCACCTGATCCAGATCCTTGTATTGGCGAAGATACTACATTTTCTGAAAACATGGGTGGAGCACTCTGCATATTTTGCATCATTGATGTAGGCATACCATAAGGTGGATTCCTTGACAATGGTTGTGAGAAACCTAGAAGAGGAAAATACCTATGCATTCAACTTCCTCCTAGGGGTGTTGGTGGGTTAGGACTTTGTGGTCCTATATATTCCAACACAGGTTGAGTGTAAGTTTTTACACATGTTGATCCTGGGCTTGCCATCGACTGCATTGGTTCAAAGAAAACGACTGATGGTGACGTCTGTCCTCCAGTTGAAGAAACAGGGGATGGTGTACTTTGAGACCCCATGCTAGTTGACTGAGTGTTTGAAATACTTCCTTGAGGATCAACTTGTTGACTGACATTGGTTTCCATTCTCTTAGTATATCTTACCTTTGGTATTCCTTCGTTTAGTGTAGCTAACTTCCCACTTCTCAACAACATACAACGAAGTGCTTCTCAAGAAGATGGATATGATAAACATAAAATTTGGAATACTTAGCACTGGGTCCCACCGGGTGTGCCAATTTGTTTATTGTGAAATTTGGTAAACAACCTCTGGTCTATCAACTTTGGGTGAAATTGAGTAACTCGCAGTATCGACCATACAAATCCTAGGAAATATGCTAAGTTTAAAGGACAACCTAAACTGAACTCCATGTTCGACTATGTTCTAAAGGAACTCCATGTTTGACTATAAAACTTTGTAAAGTAAAAAAGAACTTGGAAATTGACAAGGCTGTAAAATAAAGGGTGCAATTCTTAAAGCGTCGAAAGTAAAAGGCAAGATGTAAAAGACTTTGAAAATAAAGGCAATAATATAAAGGCTTGAAGTTGATAAAAGTGCAAGAAAGTAAGTGTATAAGACGTCAAAAGTAAAAGCAACAATGTAAAAGACTTGAATTCGATAAAAGTGCAAGAAAATAAGTGTGAAGACATATTTAGAAAAATGCAGGAAAGTACCAGTCGAAAGCAATTACAAAGACTTTTAAATAGCAAGTTAAAATAAAGTGCGGAAGTAAATTAACTGAAAGTAAAGATTAAAAATCAAGTATCAAGTAAGAACATGTAAATAAGAAAGATAAAGTTCAGGAAAAGGTATTTAAACATGAAAGATAAAGTTTAAAGGAGAACATGTAAGATAAAGTGTAGAATAAACAACAACATATAAATGGTAAAGACACATAAATTGCATTGATGAAAAGACATGGTGTTACATCACGTACATTCTCTCGAACTCGTTTCTCTACACGCGGGTACTTTGAGTAATTTGGAGTAACTTGTACAAGACAAATGAACACCTCTATTTTATGAAAATAACCCCTATTTATAATGCTAGAAAATAACTACTGAGTGACAGTTGTTGCTTCAAAACGTGTCTTTTGGCGCTTTTTCTTAACTTCCACTATCCCCACATTCGCCAACTGCTCTTTTGAAATTCAAATATTAGGATTTTCCTTCCAGCTTTAGTGATAAATGTAGCGCGCTTCTTTCAGCATCCTCACGGTCGAAGGACTTTCCAACACTTAGCAATTTTTTCTAGAGGTTTTCACAACTTCTCTTCGACTCAGGCTTCACCAAAAACTGGGTCGAAGCCTTCTTATGCTTAAACATAACACTTTGACTTGAGATGACTCTAATTTTTCCGGCGTCGAAAATGAGAGCCAACACTCGGACAGGAGAAAGAACGGGGAAGTTGAGTTTCCCACAGAAGGCGCCACTGATCTCACCTGATCAAGAAGGATCAATAGCCTACCACGTGTCATTGGGTTGTAGCTTTCAGCAGAGTTAGGGAGAAAGAGGGGGTGTACCTGCAAGACACTCTGATGCTTAAGTGAGTAAAGGATCAGAGTGAGAGAGAATAAGATACCTGGCCCTCTAGTGAAAGAGGATATTTATAGATAGACCCCAGCGCAAAGCCAACGGTTACATTGCGTTGGGCCAGACTGTCAGGCACAACCTAAGTAACTGTCAGGGCTTACGTGGCGTAGTGAAGACCAAAACGTGGTCTTCGCCCTAGATCAACTGCCCCGTGATCTTCGGAAGGTGGGCTGACCAACCCTTTTGGAGGTGGGTAGTTGTCTGATGACGTGTCTCCGCGTGGGGGAAACGTGTGAGTCTCCCCGTCAGGGGAGTCGTGCCCGACATAGAAGGATTGTACCTTATTGAGTCTCCCTAATACAGTGTTGGGTTGGGCCTGCCCGACTGAGGGGCAGATCCCGACCCAGTCCAGAACACTACCCTTCGACCATACTAGAGTTCGATACAATATCTCACACATGTGTTTTAAAAATGTAATTTATTTACACGTAGCATACTTTTAACCGCTGACGAAAATTGGTTTTATGCATAGCTTTAAGGATAATGAAAAATATTTAAAAAAAATGGTTATAGTAGAAATCAATGCTACAAAAAAATTATATATATTCAAATTGTAGATAGTATTTTGTAGGAAAACATCTCTCCTATTTATATTCAACAAAATTTATTGTTGATCCAAATACTTTTATAAATATAAAAATTGTATTTATGATTCAAATATAAAAAATGTGTGAAACTTATAAATTTATTAAATATATTCTATAATTTTTTTAATTGAATCTATCTACAAATGCATGTACAAAATCATACAGGTACAAAAAGGAATGCAACCTCAAAGTTGATGACATACTAAGTTTCATTGATGAAATTTTTTATTCTCATATTCACGTTAATATTTATATATGAAAAAAATACATTGGTGATTTAAATATTTTTATATACGGAAACAACTTTATTATTGATTCAAATATTTTTATAAATAATATTAAAACAAAAATAATATTTTTAATTATTTAAAAATACATTGTTGATTCAAATATTTTTATATATCGGAACAACTTTACTATTGAGACTACAATACTTTTGATAGTCACCCTCTAAACTTCTGAAAAAATGAAATCATTGATTCAATTATTGTTATAAACTGGAATAACTTTATTATTGATTTAAATGTTTTTACATATATTTTCAAAACAAAAATAATATTTATATACATGAAAAAATACATTGTTGATTCCAATATTTTTATATATGGGAACAATTTTACTATTGATTCAAATATTTTTATATACGAGAATAACTTTATTATTGATTCAAATTTTTTTTTAAAATAATTTCAAAATAAAATTAATATTTATATATGGAAATAAATACATTGTTGATTAAAATATATTTATATACGAGAAAAAATACATTTCTGATTAAAATATGTTTATATACAGAAAAAAAATATTATTGTTATAAACGAGAACAACTTTACTATTGATCTAAATGTTGAATAATAGAAATTTATCAACTACTTTTTTTAATATGTGAAAAAATTAAGAAAACTTATTGAAAAAGATTGAGTAGATATTTAAAAATTGTATTCTTTCTTATAAAATAATTGTCTTATTTGGAAACAAAAATAAATCGATTAATTTATCTAATATAAGTTTCAATATTTTTCTTTTTAGTCATATTATTTTTGATATTGTTGTTTACCTTTCATCTTCTATATGTATTACTATTCAACTTAAATTTACTATTATTTAAAAAAAAAATCTTTTTTCTACTTCCAATTGTTATGACAGTTTACAAACAAATACACATTCAAAATCAAATTTCATCTAACAACGTATCCCGTATGTAAGCACGAGTTTGCTACTAGGATATATATATATATATATATATATATATATATATATATATATATATATATATATATATATATATATATATATATATATATATATATATATATATATATATATATATATATATATATATATATATATATATATATATATATATATATATATATATATATATATATATATATATATATATATATATATATATATATATATATATATATATATATATATATATATATATATATATATATATATATATATATATATATATATATATATATAAAGAAATTATCATTATTTTATAATTTAAAATATGTTTGGTTTTAGAATATCAACAATATGTTTTTTAAACACAATTAATATTTTTAAGGTAAATACTTCGGTATTTTTGAATTTGGTTAGGTATTGATACCTTTATCTAATTAAATAATGGTATTCAAAGTCACATCATATTTTTATTTTATTTTTATGAAAATAAAAAATTGATTTTAAAAAAAATTAAATGTTTAAATTAATTTACATTAAAGGTATGGTATAAGTACCCAACTAAAATTAATTGTACCAAAGAACTTACCTATTTTCAAATATAACAACGCCTTTTATATATAAGGGTTGTCGCGTAACATTCAAACAAATAAGAAATGACATCCCTTAGGTAAACTGCTATAGTGTAACCATTTATTACAACACTCTAAAGCAGCTAAAAAGCGTTGTTAAATGTTTTTCTGCACATCGATATCAATTCTCTCACATTTCTTACCACTTACACTCAATCAACACAATACTTAACATCCAAATCTTAACCTTACATGGTTTTAGTCTTTTGTATAATAAAGGCTATAAACGATGAGAGTTTTTAAATGAATCCAAAACCCAATGCAAAAATAAAGTTTTCACACAAAAATATAATAAAACGTACACTAATACTCAATTTTGTATATATTTTAATTTTTTAAATTCGATTTGCGATTTTTATTGATTTCAGATTGCAATTAACATTGATCTGAAAAGGAACAACTCAATTTATTTCATAATTTATTCAACTAAACATGCCTAAATATGTTGGTATAAATGAAAAACAAAAGTTTGTATCTAACTTTAATGTCCCACAGCCTTGCCACATTTCAGTGCATTACTTGGAATTAGGTACTCATCTCTTGTTGATCTTTCAGGAGAATACACTCGTAGATAAAATTGTTGACCTAAATACTGTCTTGCCCAACTCTGAGATCTCACATTCCACATTCCTACATTGTCTAATGGCATGTACACTGCAGTCCATGTCTTTGGGAACACCTGTGTAATAAATTAAAGATGAATATAAGATCGCCATCCTAACAACTATGATCGGTATTGCTAAAATAAACTTGAATTACCTGAACTGTAGAACGATGAACTGCGTCGTTTAGATTGTAACTCTGTCTGCTTGCTTCTGACCATTGTCCCCTATTCAATCTGCAAATTCCAATAATATATATTTTTATCGGGAAATTTTTATAGGAGGATTTGTAGGATTATAATTTAGTATGATATATGTATTATCGTAATGAAAATAAAATTGATAGTTTGAAACACGTGTAAATGTATAAAATTTTCAAACGAGAATGGAGTAGGTTGAATTGAACTTACCCTACTACAAAGAAATTGTGTCCATCAATGTGCCATGATTGCAAATAATTTTCGGTATTTTCAAACACGATTTCCATAAAACCTCGATAGTCGGCTGCCATGACAGATGTCGTTATATGATCGGCGCCCTCAGTGGGTTTATCTAGGATACTTCCAAGTGTAAACACCCCTTTAATATTGAAGTAATCGGCTAGTTTAAGCGGTGTATCTGTGGGAGCAAATGACACACTATTCACAGCATATCTGAGTTTTCCATTGATAGTTGGAGCAGAATTTTTAAGCCTAATTGTTCTTGTTATGTTTACCGATCCATAATGATATGTTCCTTGTGGATTCGGTCTCGGCCCACTTGCGGTAAGATTCGTCCTGAATCAGTTAATAATTTGTTAATGTCAGCATGTAACATCGATAAAAATTTCAGTAACTTCAGTTTTTCCTTGTGGAGTAAGTTTCATTTAACTTTGAAATAATAAATGAATATCCGCAAATCCTAACTCACAAAAACCGATATAGTTAAGTTGGATGTCAACACCAGGTTCAAAACCTGACTATCACAGTTGTGTGTGTACGAGTTTCTAGCAACTATGATCACTTTTTCTATGGATAAAAATAATAATAAATGAATAAATACCTAAAAGTTCGAGCTTGTTGGAGGGACCAATCGAAATCAGGGGGTGGTCCGGTCGGAAGAGGACCGCTAACTTTTTGTTTCGAGTTACTGTAATGAAGAATGGATGAAGCAGTAAAGACCTTTGAGGTGAATCTTGATGAGGCAACAATGTAGTAATCTTTTGGTGGCTGGTCAGCAGTAACCAATACAGAATATGTTTGCCCCAAATGTATGTCAAGTGAATCATAATAGTTTTGAACTGTGTGAGTTCCTTCCACCTCAACAAGCTTCATCTTATGGTTTTGGATTCTAAAATTTATCGAAGTACTAATCCCCACATTCGATATTCGAAATCGGTATGTCTTCCCTATAAACAATCAAGTATATTAGTTGAATTATTTTAAATAATCGCATAAAATTTTGTAATATTGAAAAAATTATACAGACAAACGTAGAGTGTCTGACTGCACGCTAGTAACTATTTGCATGGGATCTGAACAAATGAATTGAAATTTATGTATACCTTGATCGACAGTGAATACATTGGAATTACCACCATTGATGATAAGTCCGTCAGGGTATGGAAGATCCTTTCCGCTGTCTAAAATTGCCCTCAAATCCTGCAAAAATAAATCCATATTAATTGATAATTTATTCGTTCTAGCGCGTGTATGCAAGGACTACAAACCATTATTCAAACAAGAAACTTAACTGTATGACTTCTCTTGTACCAATCTCCTGCTAATATGGTGATATCTCCGGACGGAGGATCAAAAGGCACTGGTATCAAAGGGCGGCTAACGATTTTGAAACCGCCGTAACCGCCTGCTGCTTTGTGTAGTCCAAGGGAGGGAAAGTAGAAATAGCTGCCAATTTGATCTTTTACTTGAAGAGCATAAGTGAAATTCTTCCCCGGAGGGATTGGACAATTTGTACCATACACTCCATCTTGCCATGAATTTCTCCTCTGCAGTGCACCGTTCCTAACAAAAAAAATCAAACACAATTTCAAATCATCAGAGGCCATTTTTAAGGGCATGCAAGACAGATTACTGTATAGGACTTAAAATTCGATACATATAAATTATGGCTAAAATGGTCGCATAGAAAATAAAGCACAACAAGATAGAACATCTCGTTATTTTTCCATAAATAAATCGTGATTAAACTACATGGGACCTGCGAAAACTTAAGACTGCCATGTATATATTATGCAAATGATGCTTTAACAATGGAATAAATAAGAAACAAAACTAATCAAGATATGAGGACCATGCATATATATTATGCAAATAATGTTTTAACAATGGAATAAACAAGAAATAAAACTAACCAAGAGATGAGGAAAGGTTCATCCAAGTTATTGAAAACATTGATAATCAAGTTATCATTAGTCACTGAATCAATCTGTGGCCCTGGAAATTGTCCATTTATCAATATTCCCTACAATTTCACACACCATAATGAGTATATGTATTCATTTCATTCATACGAAGAAAAAAAATTAGGAAAATCAAACAACAACATCAATAAGAAGAATAATAGAAATAAAGTATACCTGTTGTTTAACTCCAAGTGGAAAAATATCACCATATGTAACTTTCCAAGTGTAAAACCTATAAGGATCCTCTCCATTTACACATGCAACTAACAATAACACCAATGAAAAGAGAGAACAATATTGTTTGGAATAACCCATTTTTTGGTTTTTGCTTTTTGCTTTTCTCTCCTACCTAGAGGACAATATATATATATATGCAAAACCAACTATACCACTTTCAATATATATAGCAATTTTCTTACATTCCCTTTAGAACACTTTTAATATTATTATTAAAGTCAAACTAATATAGACTTTTAATAATACTAAAGATAAAACTTTCTTATCTTTAATAAAAAAATTAAATTTATATTATAAAAAAGAAGAATAAACATCATACTTTAATATATATCAATATAAATAAATAAAAAAAGTCATCATTAAAATAGATTATATTATGTTTTATTTATTGAAAAAATGGATAATGCATTGATAGTGTAAATTAATTTTACACTATTAATTAATGATGATTATATATCCTGTCAAATTAGACTAAAATTTTTTATTACTTGTATGATATGACATAATGATATATTTCTATTAAATATCAGTGTAAAACATTTTTATACATCTCCATTAAACTCTTATTTATTAAAACATTTTTATACATCTCCATTAAACTCTTATTTATTAGTATTAATAAAAAACTAGAGAATAAATATAATACTTAAATAAAAATCATATTATATTTTACTACATAATATTAAAAATGGAAAATAATTGTAATACTTTAATAAAATTCAATAAAAGAATAGTATATTGGATTCATATTATACTTTATTTATTAGTTTAATTATAATTTTGATATCTCTATTTTAACTTATTTGCGAAAATAATTTCTTATTTTAATTTACATTTTTTGTCATATCTCACATTTTTCCATTTAAAGTTGATGATGTGTTCATTTTTTAATGTTTTATAATTTAATTATTTTATTTTTAAAGTTTCACAAATATTTTAATACAATGATTTGTCATACTTCACAAGTAAACTGTAAAAAAACATACACCTAATATTAATTTTAAATATAAAAATATAAAAGAAAAACTTAAATTGTTTGAATTTAAAATAAATGGACTAGTTTCATGAATCAATATTATAAAATAGGGAATAAGTATGAAACTTATAAAAAGATGGAGAATAAATATAATACTTTAAACAAAATCATAATATATTTTACTTTATAATATTATAAAATGGAGGATAAAAATTCATTGACCATTAAAGTTTTATTTATTAGTATATAAAAAATGAAGAATAAATATAATACTTTAAACAACATATTATATTTTACTTTATAATATAAAAAAATAGGAGAATAAAAATTCACGATAATATTCATTAAAAATATTAACATTATACTTTATTATTAGTTTTTCATTATGAATAAGGCATGTTGGACTAACAAACGGATTACTAACAATATGTCATTCTAACATAACTAAGAGAAGCACCCATTTTATTATAACACTTTAACATTTCAATTATGATTTATACCATATCCTATTATTCCTATTATTCCATATCACTATTATTCCTATTATTCTATATCACTTTAACAAATATGACATTTGAATATAATTTATACCATATCACTATTATTCTTATTATTCTTATACTAGCGTCCAGACGGGCATGCGAATGAATGAAAATATAAACGATATTTTTTATTTAAATAAATTTTTTTAAAAATACAATATGCAGAAGTTAATAAGAAGAAGTTACATGGAAGTTAACAATAAGAAGTTATTAAGTAAATTACATAATAAAGTAAGGGTAAAAATGGTAGAAAAATAAGTCACACCAAAAACTTGTATCCCCTTTATATATACTTATAGATGATATGACATAATGATATATTTCTATTAAATATCCGTGTAAAACGTTTTTATACATCTCCATTAGGGTGTGTTTGGTTCGGGGTAGATGGAGGGTATTAGAATATTAATAATAATTCATATTTATTTAGTTGTACTATTTTCCTTAGCCCCTAAGTTTGTTAGAGGGTATTTTAGTATTTTATATTATTCTAGTAACCCTAGTTTTAGCTTATAAATAGGGTGACAATCATTGTAACTTTTATCATGTTTTTGTAGCCGTCATTCTTAATAGAATATTTCCTTTCATCATCATTTATTCACCTTGCACCAACAATTGGTATCTAGAGCTCCGGTTCAGATTCATTGGGAAACACGGGAAACACGAGTGAACGTGAGGTCTTGTGTGTTTGATTTTGATTCTTAGATTCGTGTTGAATCTTGAACAAAATCTGATCAGAATTTTATTCTGTGGGTTGGGAAACACTGTGTGAGAAACATTGAGTGTATTGTGCAAGGTAAAGATGAACGGAAACGGCAACATGAACACCAAGCTTCCAGTATTTGACGGTAAAAACTGGAATCGTTGGATGATCCAAATGCATGTACTGTTTGGTGCTCAAGATGTTTTAGATCTTGTCACTGATGGTTATGTTCCGGTAGCAGCAGATGCAACGGATGAACAGAAAAACACGCAGAAGGAAGTAAGGAAGAAGGATCAGAAAGCATTATTCTTTATTCATCAATGTGTTGATGTAAATGTGTTTGAGAAGATTGCAGATTCAACGACAGCAAACGCTGCGTGGGACACACTGGTTAGATGTTATGGTGGTGACGCATCAGTGAAGAAGGTGAAGCTTCAGTCCTTGAGAAAGCAATATGAGAATCTCAACATGAAGAATAATGAGAAAGTTTCTGAATACATCTCCAAAGTGATTCTGATCACTAATGAGATGAAGGCGTGTGGAGAAACTCTTTCTGAAGAAACAATCATGGAGAAGGTATTGAGATCCCTTACCTCTCAATTTGATTACATTGTGGTAGCAATAGAACATTCCAAAGATCTGAGTACCATGAGAATTGAAGAGCTGCAGAGCAGTTTAGAAGCGCAAGAGTTGCGTTTGACTGAGAGAACTTCTGAAAGGGAAGTAGAGCAGCAGGCTCTGAAAGCAACTTTTGATAGGAGGTATCAGAAGCAGTCAGAAGCCAAGAGAAGATCTGATGGAGGTCAGAAGTCAGAAAGCTCAAACTCTGATAGGCAAAAGAATGCTCAGAAGGGAAAAGAGAAGTATGACAAGAAGAAGATCCAATTTTATTGTTGTAAGAAGTTTGGTCACTTTGCTAGAGATTGTTGGTCAAACAAGGAGAAGAAATCAAAAGAAGCAAATATAGCCAGAAGTTCTGATGACGAATCTGTGCTATTGATGGCCTCTGAATCTGATGATCTGACAGACTGGTGGTATATGGACACTGGTTGTTCAAATCATCTTACTGGAAACAAGAAATGGCTGGTTGACTTTGACTCTGAAAAGAGGACAAAGATCAGATGTGCTGATGACAAATATCTTAATGCAGAAGGTATGGGAAATATCAGAGTGACTCTGAACAATGGGAAAACAGCATTGATTCAGAACGTGTGGTATGTACCTGGCATCAGAAGCAATCTGATGAGTGTGGGACAATTAATTGAGAAAGGTTTTTCAGTTACCATGAAGGACAATCTTCTGAAGTTGTATGACTGCAATCAGAAGTTGATTATGGAGTCAGAACAGGGAAGGAATAGAACATTCAAGGTGAATGTCAGAACTGCAGACTCAGAATGTCTTAGTGCAACATGTGCTGAGAAGGAGAGTGAGCTGTGGCACAGAAGATTTGGTCATTTGAATTTCAGAAGCCTAAAACATCTGAATTCAAAGAAGCTGGTACATGGAATTCCTGCAATTAAGAAGCCTGAGAAGTCATGCAAAGTTTGCATGGAAGGAAAACAACCACGTTTGCCATTTGCGTCAGAAGTTGCTCCAAGAGCAAAACATGCCTTGGGAGTTGTACATTCTGATGTGTGTGGTCCATTTCCAGTAGCATCAATTGGAGGGAATAAGTACTTTGTGCTGTTTGTTGATGAATTCACAAGAATGACATGGGTATCCCTTATTAAATTTAAACATGAGGTGTTTGATGAATTCAAGAAGTTCAGAATGAAGGCTGAGAATCAGAGTGGTCAGAAGTTAAAGATTCTTAGAACTGATGGTGGAGGTGAGTATAACTCCAAAGAGTTCCAGAAGTTCTGTGAGGAGAATGGAATTGAGCATGAGGTTACTGCTCCTTATACCCCTCAACACAATGGTCTTGCTGAAAGAAGAAATCGTACTTTGCTTGATATGGTGAGAAGCATGCTAAAGGAGAAGAAGCTTCCTCAGAAGATCTGGGGAGAAGCTGTTGCCACTGCAACGTATGTACTCAACAGATGTCCTACGAAGAAGTTGAAGGAAATAGTTCCTATGCAGAAGTGGACTGGAGACAAGCAAAGTGTTAGTCATCTGAAGGTGTTTGGTTCTGTTTGCTATAAACATGTTCCAGAAGCCAGAAGACAGAAGCTGGATGATAGAAGCAAAGTGATGATTCTGATAGGGTACCACAGTACAGGTGCATACAAGCTCTATTGTCCAGAAACCAATAAAATTGAATTCAACAGAGATGTGATTGTGAAGGAATCAGAAGTTTGGAATTGGGATAAGTCTCAATCTGATTCTGATGTTAGAACTTCTGAAGAAAGGTCAGAGTTAAGAATTTCTGAAGTTGAAGTAAACTCTGACGTTGATTCTGACTCTGATAGTGATTCTGACTCTGGAGAAGACTCAGAAGATGAAGGTGACTCTGATGATCCAGACTATGATGGTAATCCAGATTCTGGTGGAAATTCAGACTCTGAAGATGGCCAAGACTCTGAAAATATGCCAGATCTTGAAGATGATCAAAGCTCTAGAGGAAGTCAACCATCTGAAGCTGGAAACTCTGAAGCTCAAGACTCTGAACAAGTTCAGAGACCACAAAGAATCAGAAGCGTTCCCAGAAGATTTGCAGAATTTGACATGCTGCAAGACACTGAAGTAGACTCTGAAGGAGAAGTTATTCAATGTGCCATATTAGTAGACTCTGAACCTATAAGTACAGAGGAGGCTCTTAAGCAGAAGCTCTGGCTGAAGGCCATGAAAGAAGAACTTGATGCTATAGAGAGAAACAAGACTTGGAAGCTGACAGAACTTCCAAAAGACAAGAAAGCCA